TATATGTATTTATATATATATATATATATGTATTTATATATATATATATATATTCTCTTCCTTGACCCTCTTGAAGGAGACAACAACATAATTATATTTATTTGTTTGTTCGTCTTTTTGTTTGCTCGCGTATGTTTAATGCTTATATCTTTATGCATATATATATGTATATTATATAATATATATATGTAAATATATAACTTTATATATATATAATATATATATAATACAGACATAACCTGTTGACCCCATAGCAGCAAACAACGCCCTGTTTGCTATTTTGTGTATATATGCATATTATATATATAAGATATATAATATCTATATATAATATATATAGATATATAGATATATCTGTACATATATATATATATATATATGTACTGATAGATAGAGCTTAGGGCAGCTGTGCTGGCTGAGTAGACAACTGTCTCCTCTTGCTGCTGCTGCTGGGTTGTTTATATTTCATGCTGCTTCTGTGCTGCTGCTGCTGCTGCTTTGCTGCTGCTGCTGCTGCTGTCTCTCTGCAGTTGGGTCAGCTGAACCGCCTCTACTCCCGAGCGCAGAAGCAGGTAATCCCCCACTAAGGGTTATAAAAAGGGTTTAGGGTTTAGGGTTTGAGGCCAGCCTTACAATGCCTCTTTTCTTTGCTTTGTTTAATTTGCTGTCTCTTCTTCTCGTCGTTTGCTTCCTGTGTATGCATGCTTGCTCTCTTTTATTATTTATTTTATTTTATTTTATTTTATTTTATTGTATGTCGTCTCTTTCTGCTTGTTCTTTTGCTTTCCTTTGTGCTGCCTCTTATCTTTCTGTCTACTTGTTTACTTATATATATATTATGAACTATTTATCTTTCTGTCTCTTTATTTATTTGCTTATTCTTATCTTTCTGTCTCTTTATTTGTTTATATATAAATATATATATATATATTTCTGTCATTTTTTTTATTGTCTCCTTCTCTGCTTTCTTTCTGTCTGTCTTTATTATTCTTTGGCGATAATTTGCAGCAAACAAACTTAGAAAACAAATAAAAATAAAAACAAATAACAGAAAAACTTAAATTTAATTCGCCTGTCTCCTTAATGCTGCTGCTGTCTCCTTCTGCAGATACCCCGCCACCCCCAAGCAAGGCAGGGCTGCGTTTAAATTTGAAGGGGAGACACCGCAACAACAGCAAACAAAAATCAGCAGCTAAAGCTCAAGCATCAAAAGATCCTGCTGCTGCTGCTGCTGCTGATCCTGCTGCTGCTGATCCTGCTGCTGCTGCTCCTGCTGCTGCTGCTGCTCCTGCTGCTGCTGCTGCTCCTGCTGCTGCTGCTGCTGGCCCCACAGGCGTCCCTCGCACTGAAGGGCTTCTTAAAATACCAGCGAAGAAGCCTAGGTTTAAGGCAAAGCCGCAGGGGCCCCCTGCTAAAGCTCAAGCAGCAACAGCAGCAGCAGCAGCAACAGCAGCTAAAGGCAGCGGCGACCTGCAGACAGCAGCAGCAACAAAGAAAGCAAACTCAGGTGCAGCACAACCATCTCACCAGCAGCAGAAACAGCAATCCGCAGCAGCAGCAAAGACAACAGAGACACAACCAAAAGGAGCTGCAGCAAAGGAGACAGCAGCAGGGCCCCCTAAACCTAGCAGCAAAAATGAAAACAGCAAAGACAAGCAGCAAAAGTTTGTACAGCCTCCAGCCCTGAAGGCCCCCGTAAAGATACGCCCCAAGGAGAAGGCAGCAAATATAAAGACAGGGGGTGCCGCTATGAGTAAGCCGAACCATATATAAACCCTAAACCCTAAACCCTAACAACCCTAACTCCTTTTAATAGCCTATAACAATCCGTTTATAAACCCTGAAAGAGACAAAGAAAAACAAAAAATATATATTTAAAAATATCAAATATACACACTACAGCCTCGTCCGTTTGCGGTGTCTCCGCAGCTCTACCAGAACCCCCCACCTGACTGAGTGTATAGGCAGCAAAACTCAATGCCTCAGAAAGATATAGCTGAGGAGACATCAACAAGATTGAGGAGACAACAGCTGTCTCTTCTGCAGCAGCATCTGCAGCAGCAGCTGCAGCAGCAGGAGCAGCTGGCGGTGCTTCGCGGTATGAACGCGAACAGACAGAAAGTAAAGAAATAGCTGAGGAGACACCCAAAGAATTGAGGAGACAGCAGCTGTCTCCTCTGCATGCATGCATGCAGAGAGGGTAGCCTCTTATTGTTTTCTTCTATTTTGTTTATTTTGTCTCCTCCTCGTCTCCCTCACCATTTAATTTTAAATAAATACAGAAGAGAGACAACATAAATATCATCCGTCTCCTTTCCTGTTTATACAAAGATACAGAAGAAAACCCTGTCCTTATATATATATATATATATATATATGTATATATATATATATAAAGAAGACAAAGACAAGCAGGCATCCCCTCCCTCTGTCTCTCTGTCTGTATGAACATATATATATATATATATGTATATATATGTATATGTATATATATTATATATGCATATATATATACATATATATATATATATATGTATGTACTTTTATCTCTTTTTGAGGCAAAGCCCGCCACAACATTTTATCTTTCTTTCTCTTTGCTATTAAAGAGAAGAGACCAACAGACCCTTATATCTTTTTCTTTTTGTCTCTCTCTCTCTGTCTCTCTTGAAGAGGAGACAGCAACTGTCTCTTCTCTTCAAACCGCTACACACTCTCTCCTCCAAACAAACCAACCGGGTGTATGCGCAGATACACACCTCCCCACACTGCGGACCTATATATATATATATATATATATATATATATA